AAACTAATTGCCTTATTAATTTAATCCTTATTTAATATTTAATATTTTTTATATTTAAACCTACGTATAACGCAATAATGTATATTATTGACTATTATATGGTATAAAAATGAATGTTTTTCTGCCTGTATATCCTTTATGCATTCCTAAACGACTGAGCCGATTTTTATGACAATTTTTGAGTGTGTTTGAGTCGTTCCAGGGACTATTTAGATTCACAATTCGACGTGGTAGCTCCAACTCAGGGAGGTGCTCAAACAGGGATTTTGAGATTTAAGTTGGAAATGTTTGTTTATTAATGGTTACATGAGAAATAATTAGTAGTTATTATTATATTGGTTGCCATTGGTTAATAATCAGGTACGATCTTGTGTCAAAATGTGTATTTTGTTTTTATATTTAATAAAATCAATGTTCATAAATCTAATAAATAATTACCTACATAGGTAGGTCGGTTAGGTAGTCTGTTTGGTATACATGTCGTATACCTAACAGTACAAGCAGTTAATAATACCACAAATCAATATTCTAAAGATCGGTCGGTGGATGTAAACAATTCTATATTTGATATCAACTAGAATGAAAATAACGTCAACTAAAAAAAAGCTAAAAAAAAATATAATGATTCTCGAAAACATCTCAAATGCGTCCTTAACTTAAAATTACATAATGTTGGTGGCAGATGATGTCTGAATGGTTTTATTCAATTGTAGGAATATCACACTAATGGCACTCCGATTGTGATGAAGGGTTTGAATTTGTTCATCTTTTATTCCCCTTTTTTTCTACAAATTTTTCTTTCTTACTTCACATTTTCAGAGGAGTATAGAAAAACCATTGGAATAATTCGTAAAAGCTTTTTGGTCGCAGTCCAGTGTTGCTTTTTTACCAAAATAAATCCTCATCTTTTATATAACATATCGGAGACAGCACTTAAACCTATTACCTAAGCTTTTAAATACAATTGGCATTAACCACTTTTCGATTAAATAATATAATTAATTAATTTTAATTAAATTTTAAATTATAAATAAGTAGAGTTGTTCAATGTATTAAACAATAATTGAACTTATGCTAACTTATGCTATTATTAAGTATTAACTACTTATTATTCATAGTAAAAATCAATATATTTATAAGTATTTTCATTAAGATGTAATAAATTATCAATAAAATTATAATACTTTAATGAATCTTATACCTTAGAACTTAAAAGATAACGTTTATAGCAATATCAAAAAACATAATATCATGAAATAAACGTATAGTCCTTACTACCTTAGTAATATAGGTCGACAATCACTCAGAAGTCAGAATAGTTTTTTTACGCAATGGTTTATTATATTGAATTCAAATTTAACACATGTATTAAGGATGTAAATACTCAATGACGAGATACACTCGTCACCTAGAATTATACAGAATAGCGGTATTTTCCTCCTTTTTACTATGGGATGTGGTAATTTATATTAAATCTAACTAGCGATTTATGAGTATAATAGGATATTATAGCTTACAATTAATATTAAAAAGTAGAGACAGTATCATTATGGTAATATTGAAGTAAACCAAAGTGTTTGGTGTTTACTAAGCAAAAACTAAAAAAAGGCTCTTAGCCTAGACTATACACATCTAAAGATATTTACAGATTATTAAGTTTTGGCTACTATTTTAACATGATATATTATAAGTAGTACCTATTAGTGGTGTTGATACAATAAGAAAATAATAATTATTATTCTATATATAAATATAATATAGGTAATGGTGCAAAAGATATAATACGTATTACATAATACAAAACCCGGGCCGTAATTTGGATTAGACCTTTTTTCGTAGTTTTCTTTGGGTCAAATAGTAGGTAGCAATCACAATATTACTTTTAACACTCAATTCATAAATTTTATTTTATTTTCCCGAAAAAATAATGTAAAACGATTAATGTAACGTATTACGTACAGTAAAAATAAAAATTCATCATTGGTATTAGCTACTCTTAGCTATAAACCTCATGTATAACCGGCTCCCCTATGCGATACTCATAATTTGGCACCTGGAACCATGTCTCCCTAAACCCGTCACTGAATTTAACAGAGCTCAACAGTTTAGTTCAAATTTGGTAAAGCGTTTTACATTGATGTCTAATACGTTGAACTGAGTAAGAATGCTATTAGTTTTATAACGGGGCGTACCCTAATTTTTATTTATTCTCGAAGCATATAATGTGCCTCTCATTGAACATATTCGTGTGGGGGCCCATGAGTTCATAATTTGAATGAAAATCATTAAATATACTTACTTAATGCAATAAAAAAAATATTTTTATTTTCATATTTTATAATATAAAATGATGTATTACATTTTGAACATGAATCTAAGCGTTCTCCATGAACCTTTCATCGTTTAAAATATGATATAATTACAATAAGAAGTATAATTTTCAGTAGCTTCCAAAAAAGTTTTACTTAGAATTGTTTTTTGATGTGTTAATTATAATGCCCAACGCTCATGTTTAATATTATATTTTTATCATTGCTTTTATGAAACAAATACAATTATACGTCTAAGATTAAGTGAAGCTAGGTATAATTATATAATTTCCCTGTGTCTGCATTTCGTCTGTATCTTGTCCGATTATAGGTTGATATAGGTGTAGAATTTCTGATATAAATATTAAGTATATATGATTTTTTATTAATAGAAACGTTAACTGTGGTGTTTTTTTTTATGTTTATTAAATGTATTCATGAAAACATTACAACCTATGCCTATCTATTATAATATAAGCACAATAAGTAATTATCTAGATACTTAGTTCTGGTTCAATTGATTTCATAAAATATAATATTTAACAACTTTCTTCTTTGCTTAGACTTCGGTAATCTATCTGAAAATTTCAAATGTTCAAATGTTCATTTTTTCTCTGGTAAAGTCAGGTTAAACATAGCTACCTATAGTATTAGATAAATACAATAACGTTAAGGTGATGCAATCAGTGGCCACCCTGGATATAAAGTTTAGATTAAGTAAGCAATGTCATAAGTTATAACATATAAATATTATAATTTACAATAATTATTATTATACAAGTATACTAAGATCTAAAGTCTAAACTATATTAAATATTTAAATATTCTGAAATAATATATTTTTATTTAATTTTTTAGCTTTATATAACTATATAATATAATAAATGAGATTATTACAGTTAATTAATTTGTATTTTTTTTTATTCGTGTTAAATTATGATCTTAAATTTTAATTTAAAAAATATTCAATCTGTACATCAAGGCACATTAAGCATATTAGAATATACGATGATAACAGAGAAATATGAACATGAACAATTTTGAAAAATAAGTCACCAACTGATTACGCTTAATCTATTATTTAAATTATTTTACTTAATCGTTTTATACATGAATGTATTTTATTTTAATATTTTAATTTTTCTATGCTATGTCAGTTTAATATTTGAATAAATCACCTCAAAAGTTTCAGGTATATAGTGAGAGGCTAGCATGTTGTGAAATCTTTTTACTCATTAATGCACAGATTTAAATTACGAGAAATTAAAAAAAAAAAAATACTTTATTCTCTTTTTTATCTGAGCTAAATATTATTAAGAAATACTATCATTTTTAATCATTTTTCGATGTTTATTAATTTAAATTTTGAAATTTAAAATTGATAATAATTTTAACAATGACATTTTGAGATTGTCATATTATAGGTACTACAACTATATAATAATACAATGATCAACTTGAAATCGTTTCGCAGCTGTGATTATTACACATTTTTTGGTTTGATTCGTATTGTTTATTATACGGTATAGAAGTATAAAATATAATAAAATCAATACGCAATTCACTGGCTATTAACGCCGGATAAACGATAAATACATCCATTATCTCAAGTGTTTTCACGATTTTTATAATTCAACTTTTTCAGATTTATGTTCATTGTGCATATAATATTATGTTGTATACCTTTTATTAATAGTATCTATTTATACGTCATAATTTGACGACCTTATAATATGGTTATGTAATCATATTGTATTAAAATAATGATATAATATATAAACGATAAATGCGTCCATTACCGCAAGTGTTTTCATGGTTTATGTATAACACAGCATTTTCATTTCATTTTCAGCATACATAATTTTACATTATAATAATATTACTATAGTTATTATAATATAATATAGTATAGCACTATAATAATGATATAAAATATAATATTATACCAACTCGCAGTTATGGATAGCTACCTATATATAGGTACTATTTTTAAATATAATGTTTGTGCCGTGTGCGTAGCAGCCAAGTGATTGAACTGCGAAATATTACGACGTGTTGACATGAGTCTACGTAGCCTATATATAGGTAAGTACTGCAGCACTTCCTCTCGATCTCATTAGTGGCATTATTATTAATGCGGATAATTATTCTGGGTATACAGAATAGGAAAAAAAGTCGTTACTCGGTACTAACATGGGCGGGGCGTCAAACCTAGGGGCGAATTGAAGAAATATTTTAATGGAGGGTTAGCACTTATTACGCGAACGGGCAATGCATTCGTTTGTTGGCACTTGCGTGGTATTTTTATTCACTATATGACGTTTGTAGCTGGTAAAATTTCAAAAGGAAATTTCGAGTGGTGTCTGGGGACCGGGAATTTTTTATGGGCACCACTCAAATATACGACATATATTTTTATATTTTTTTATTTATAAAATTCAAATAATTATTATAAAAAAAAAAATTATACGAACATATTATATAATATAAGGGCGTGGATTTTTTTTCACGACAAATATACTTAGTAGGTATAGAACATGTTTTTTATTTATAAAACTATATTTACAATAATATAATAAATAGTAGGTACAACTGTACAACATATTTAGTGAACGGCGTCTTGAAAAGAACCAACATATTATAATATAATATTATTATTTAGATTAATAATTTAATAATGTCTAAGATTGATTACGGTACGGTGACCTTGATAAAATGATTTGGGTTCCCAGCTTTCGGTGCAAACCTCAAGTTGACTTGGTTCTTTTGGCCTCCGTTAACTGTCAAAAACGAATTCCAGTCCACATAGAAGTACAATCCGTTCTTAGGTCGTTCGGGTCCAGGTGTAATTATTTCATCGATTACCGGTGGACTGCTGGCGGTCTCGCCTCCACCAAATGACTCGGCCAATTGAGATAGACTTGGGTTAGGATCAGCAGTCGTAGAAAAATCTCTTGCTGCGCTAGCGCCGGATGTTACTTCTACGGACGTTGCTTCCGAGGACGAATCAGTGGATACCGATGTTATCACTGCTTCGGAGGACGTAGCGACTGCTATGGATTCTTCAGTAGAGGTTGTGATATTAGCTACTGCCTCTTCACTCACTGGCTCTTGACGTTTTACCTCATTTTTGTTCTTTTCCAGCAGCATTTGAAGTTCATCGGTGGACAAAGGATCAGGCGGGTTCGGGGCTTTACTCAAAGGTTGAGTCTCTGAAACGGTAGGTGACTCTGGCAGATCCGAATCGACTTCTTTGGAATTGTCGTCGAAGAACACTTCGTACCCATTGAATTCCTTATTATTGCTATTATCGGTTGGCTGATCAATAGCAGCTATAGCCGCCGTTATGTTTTCTAATTTCTTTTGGATGGCTTCTTGTGACAAAGAAATAGTATTGTTATCGTCAGACAACAGTCGTATATTTTCCACTATCTTCGCTATTCTGTTCATATCTACCGTTTTTACGTTGGATTCGGAAGGGTTGAACACATGGTCCCTCCGGTCTGATGCACTTTCGAGGAGAGGTTGAAACTGTGATATGTTTACTCCACTGTTGCCAGTTTCATTTAGAATTGATTTTAATAGTTTTTCATCCACTGATTCTGTGGCAGTAGCATCGTCATTTCGCCTTTGAGGTTCGTTGGATCGTCTTTGTGGTTCGTTGGATCGCATTTGCGGTTTGTTAGAATCTAAATCAATCGATTTACCCGATTTTGGAGCATCCAATAGTCCGAAATTGTTGAGAAAATCTTTCATGTCATCGTCAATTTTCAAATTTCTGGCTTCAGGGATTTTCTTAAACTTAGCATACGCATTCAAATCGACAGAAGGGCCGATACTTTTTTTCTGCGTATTTCTCGCGTCCATTGTTTGCAACATGATCTCAGTTTTTTTGTCACTTGTTAAATTTCTGCTTTGCACTGTCACAAATATTATTGGCGTGGTCGATGGCAGTGACTGGTCAGTTTTTTTACTTAAGCTCATTGGATATCCATAGTTGAGTGGTGATTCGCCATTAGGGATTTTTGGTCGAGTGGTTGAACTTTTCGTCACATCATCGTGCACGTTTGGTATTTGTGTTTTTGAGTACACGAAATCAGGGGATGGCGTGACGTACGTAATATCTTTCTTGACATTTACTGCAGTATTATCTGAACGACTTACTCGAGAGTTCTTGGAGAAATCGTTTAAAAAATCCAATACTTCACCACGAGTCATTTTTGGAAAACCAGACGATTCCAAATATTTCTGTACTCCTTCCACCGCAGAATCGAGTTGTTGTCCATCTAACGGGAAACCTCTCACCATTGAAACAAGGACAAGCAACAGTGCAATAACCTAAAACAATAAATACAAATATTATTCGAGTTGCCAATAAATTAACATATTATAACATATTAATCGTAAAAAGAAATAAAAACGAAGGTCGAAAGCTGGTGAAAGTAGCTTATAAAATTGTAACGTATATACCTACTTATAATTAGTATAAATTGAAAGACCTTGACAAATATTTGAAATAATAATTTTTTAATGATATTAACAATTAATTAATTTTAAATGTGATTAATTAATATTCTATAATATAACATTACATTATATTACTATGTGTTTATATAATAAATATAGGTACCTATAACGTTATTTTTTGAGTATGTACCTAAATTAACTTAACAGTTGGTAAGTCTATATTTATTATATTACTCAAGTAGGTACCTACTGATATTTTTTAATTTTCCTATAATATTCTATAAAAACAAATTATAATATTTTAGTCAATTACCATACGAAGTTGTTAAAAAATACAAGTTTTTGTCTTAGTTATAAATACTTTTCAAATACTTACATTTGTAAAACAAAACACTACCTAACATAAAAATGTTAACCTTCCCCACTATTATAACATTATTGTGACACCCAGACAGAGCCAACTGTCAAGTTATATGACTTCAACTGACGAGCGAACAACTTTACGTACAATAACAGCGTTAATAAACCAATAAATAAATAACATGCGATGATAATTTTACATTCGATATCTGTTTCGCTAATATATAAAATATTAATTAACAAATTACATCTAAATATGTTCCTATGAACGTAACTTATTCAATATTCTTTAAAATATTAGGTAATATGATTTTAATTGTTATTTTGTTATATTTTATGTCTTTGAAAGCAAATATTGTGGCACCCTCTACACTTATAAAAAGAAGTAGATGGGATAAAATAATAAAAACGATTTGGTGAATATAGTGACGCCCTCTCGTGGTCAAATGGTTGTTATATATTTTGCTTGTGAAAACCATTGTTAGATGTCACACAATATTACAATATTTTAATTCGAATAACAATAATATTCTTTTTTAACCGTACCTATGTAGGACCATAATATAAAATCAGTAAAATAGAGAAAAGTTTAAATAATATTGCGATGCAATAATAATGGATAGGCACCTACTTATATATTATTTTTTTTTTTTTAAACTGTAGTAAGTTATTAGTTAAATATGCCAATAATTTCATATTATTTATGTAGGCACTTACAATAGGAATATAAAATCCAATAGAAATAAAATAAAACTAGTCCTTAAAGTATAATGTTTCCTAAAGCGCTCTGTTGTATATAATAGCTGTCTAATGCACCTTATCGTTGAGTACCTAGACCACAACTACGGATCCATAACTTAAATTTTAATTCAATAATAAATCATTGTAATGAAAAAACTAAATTCTGAGTGGAGAGATATCTCACTGTTTGGTAACCATGATAACCAAAAAATAATCTTTAAAAAAATTCAATTTATTTTTCCCCCTATTATTTAAAAAAGTAAATACTGGTAAATTTCTCCTAAGTTCAATGTAGATACAATATGCTATTGAAATAAACCTCCCTCAAAAATTATAATTGGCACATTTATTATGATATAAAAAGTTTCTTCCGACACAAAAAGAAAAATAAAGAATAACAACAACACAACATTGTAAAAAATCAATTTAATGTTCATTAATTCCTCCACTCAGAAACTAAAATAATTTTTTAATCCAAATAGTTTTATTAAATATTACTTTCACTAACTTATAATAATATATATTCTATTCTATGTTGTATTTTATACCTTGATACAAATCTTTCTTGAAAATGAAACACAAAAAGAGAAATTTTAGAGTAACCTTCCCGACAAACAAGTTAGTCGACGAAAGTCATTCTAAATAAGAACTAACATAAGAAAAAAGAATATTTACATATTATTACGTATAATGTCGATGAGAACAATTGTAGAAATTGGTCTAAACTTTAAAAATATTAATTCCTCTAGTCGTATGAAATAATAATTACTAAAAAATAAGGCTTATTACAATTAACATTAACATCAATGATACACGTTAGGTATATGATCAGTTTTTAGTTTATGACTTTTCTTTTTAAGAAATGTATTCGTAGGTTAAAACTAAACAATTATTAATGCAGGATAAAGTGCATGCTAAACAATGTCCTGGGGCGTTCTGATTTTTTAAAATGGTTTGTATGTACACTGAAATTCAATTATTTTTGTCACTTATTTTTTAGTACCAAAACACTGTGGGATATATACCATTAAACCATTTATATTGTATATGTATTTCTATTTACATATAATAATATGTATACTTCTAGCTTTCTAGAGTATATTAATTTTATCGTCTTAATGTATATAACGTTTTTACTACACTGTAACTGGTAAACATAGCAATCTACAAGACATATAATTCGATTAATCCAAAAAACAATCGTGGTTTATTACTAGCTACGGAGAAACAAGGGTTAATTAAAAAAAAAATGGATGGTTATAATATCATCTTGTCATTTATATAAATATATAATTATATCCGAACGAATTAATATGTAAATCGAGTTGGAGAATAAATATCAAGGTAAGTGATATAATACAGGAATAAATAGGTATACCGATGACGGTGTATTTAACTATACTGATATAATTTTAAAACAGAACTGCAATATTTCAGGAATATTCACTATTATAGTTTATCCTATTTTTAATTTGATATTCAAATAACGAAAATGCCCTTTACTTTTCAATAATATATATTTTTTTCAATTTTTAAAATGTGTATTAGAACATTCAACTATCTGTACCATAGATATGGTGAAGACGTTGTATCTTATGAACAATGATAAAAAAAAAAAAATTTAAATTTAATTGAATAAAAACAGACATATTGGCTTGAGTGAAGGAACCATCCAGTAGTGGTTTATATTATATATTGTACTATACTTTTCAATATAATACCCGAAAAACATAAGAAAAAAAAAATAAGAAAAGTGAGCATTTTTTGATGTGGTTAATTTTGTTTTAGATTCTGAGTAGAGCTATGAATGTATTGATTTTTCTACATTGTGTGTTTTTGAGTTGGTAAAAATGCTTCGATTTTCAACTTTGAGGGTGGTTTCTGATGACAAATTGAATAAAGTGCGTTCTTTGGAGAGTTTATTTTCTAGTTTTTTTTTTGTACAAAATACTTCGATAACAACATTTTTGTTATAAATTTAATACAAGGTTTCGCATAAGCTTGTTCAATACCAATAACAAAATATCAAAAAAACATGGTCACAATATTTTTTATAAGCGTTTTAATAGAAAATTTAGTGACAAGATTGTCATAATTATTAGCTGAAAATTCACAAAAATTATATTATAGCTAAGGGTTGAAAACGTATTACAATGTTTTTCATTAGTAGTTCATTTTGTAACAGAAAAATATAAAAAAATATATAGGTACAGTTTTTACTATTCAATCAAAAAATAACAATTTAAATTATTTTCTTGTAATTAAAAATATTATTGAAAACTTGTAACTTTTTACGTATTTTATGTACCCAAAAACAATTTGAAATGTAATATTCTCAGCAAAATTAATACAACTAACAGTAAAATAAATTAGGTACTTTAAGAACAATGAATTAAAATATATCGTAACTTATACATAGGTAGTGGGGCGCCTATAATATAGGTTGACTGCCTTTGCTCAGAATAGTTTTCTTATGAAATGATCTATCGATCTAATGATCTATCATTGAATTCAAATATAACACTTAATAGGTACGGTACAGTGACTCCTCAATGACGAGAGATATACCTAGACACTTATCGCCGTACCGCAAAATCAGTTATCCTCTGTTCTTTTATTGTTGTGTTTCAGGCTTGACATTTTAATTTTAAAATTGTATAATAATAAAACTAGACATGGTGACATTTTCAAAATATTTTGAATCATATGATCTATTTATTGGGCATTTGGAATTATCTGATTATTTATTATTGATTTTTTCCATATCAGTGTTAGTAAAAATATTTATGCTGTTTAAAAATGTAGGTAATACAAGATAAAATATTCAAGAATGAAGATTCCTAATAAGATGTACTTATAGTGATTTAAAAATATTGACAATATTTATTCAATTCAAGTTGAAATTTATACGAAGTTGAATAGGTATACGAAAATAACAAGTCTAGTTAATTTTTCTGCATAATTTAAAAAATATTATTCGTAAGAACTTTGAAGCATCCGAATACGTCGATTTGTAAATGAATTCGATTTTAACATATCCATTTCAGTGACCTATACCTGCAGCAATAATCAATGACGAAGAACACTCGATACATGTCACCTACTGTAGCAACAGAGTTGCAACTCACCCGGTTTGGTTTGATTTAATTACTAAAAACGCTAATTGGTGTTTGCCGACCTTCTTTTAAAAATTTGTAAAGTATATAATATTTTAATAGTTTAATGTATAAATGTCTATCAAATTCTATCAACGATTTGTCAATACTTTATATGAATACATTTGAAGTAAAATAATATGTCCTAATATTTTTTTTTTACCATTTCAAAAACCAAAGTGAATTTATAATTTTACCTACATACCATAAAGAATGAGTATCTGTATTTTATAGAAAATTACTAATTAGTATTAAAATGGTTAATAATACATCTATTTTACTTATCAATAAATATGGTTTATGTTTGTGTACATTGTTATAAATAACAAACAAAATATTGTGATTCATATTAAACAATTGTTTTTTTCCAATTATTTTATTCCATAGTATGAACCTATATAAAAAATTCCATAGTCTAAAATATTGTTTTTCAAATTTGTTTGAACTATTAATAAGGTATAATAATTGATATAAATATAATTTATAATTTTAAAACAATATAGGAACTTTTAATCAAGAAATATTGTTGCTAAACAGTGCAACATAAATACTACTTTATATACAATACTTGACTTGTCCAATTTGCATTATGTAATGTTAATGCAATATTTCTTC